AGCAGGCGAGCCGGGATATACGCTGGCAACCGCATCACGATCCAGATAAACTCGCACTCGGTTGTTGTTGATCACAACTAGCTTCTCCACCAAGCCCTTCTCGAGGAAATCCGCTCTAAACTCCTGCCAAGTGATATCCTGTTTGTTCTCCGAAGGGAACAGGCTGGTATAAAACCAGAAGAAGACGAGGGAACCGATCAAGATTGACGGGACATCAAGTTTGATCTCGCTGAACTTGGGTGGCTCGCCATTGGGCTGTCCTTTCCCGTCTTTCTGCTGTTGTCCTTTCCCAGATGCCGCCCGGGCTTCTGCTCGTCTTTTCCTGAGATCATCCAGATGTTTCTTCATTTCTTGAATGTCCGCCTTTGTGTGTTTGCTGGGGTCTGTGTGATCCCTTAAGAACTCGTTCTGCTTGTCCTGTACCTCTTTCTCCATGGCTTCAAGGTCCGCCTTCGGGTATTTGGTGGGATCGTCTCCCCACTTTCTTTTGAACGCCTCCCGCACGGCTTTGACCTCTGCTTCAAAGGCCTCAACTTCCTCCAAAAACTTCTGGTGCCGAGGACTAGGAGACTCAGGATCTTCTTTGCCATTGGTAGCTTTCTGTGAAGATCCCTTGTTGGCGTCTGAAGATTGTTCTTGCTTATACACCTCATTCATATCATAGATATTGCTCACATCCCTGGCGAATTTGATGAATTTCATTACGGACGGAGTCTTCCCTTGGACAACTTGTTCCATGTAAGACCTCATGTCTGGATTCAAGCCGCAGACCATGCACTTTTGTCGCATCTCCTCCACCATCGATTTGGCCGGCTCGAAATCCATCCGTGTCTTCATCTCCTCGACGAACCGATTGAGCAGCTGCTCGTCTTCGGGTGTGATGGCGTGCTGGGGGGTGTTCTTCGCCTTGGCATTGCCAGATTGACCATTTGTGCCCTCCGTCTTCTTGTTCTGGCCATTCCCGTTCGCTGGTGGCTTCGAGCCGTTGTCGCCGGGATGCTGCGTGGCGTATGTGCGCGCTCGTTGCGCGAGGATCAGGGCCGAGACGCGGGATTGGGGGGCATGCACGGTGAGCGGCCCGGCGCGGAAGACGCTGTCGGCTACTCTCCTCGAGTACCGGGCGAGATTGCCTGGCCGTCGAAGCAAGGAAGCCATGATTGTGAGGGGGAGGTGAAGGGTATCGTAGGCCCGGGAGGGCGACCAGTTTCAGATGGGTGGCGCGATAGAGCGTACGTGGTTTTTGATCTACTCGGATATCAATGGCACAGGTAGACCAGTAGTTGCCGTGTAAGGCTCGTTTCCAGAAGCACGAGGTGTTGAGGAGAAAAGAAAGGTGGTGGCGGGGAGGGGGGCGGAGGGAGAGGGGAAGCTCTTTAGATGGAGCTGATTTCGTGCCGGAACGAACGATCGTCTTCCCGCCGAAGAGGTCATCTCGCTCGGTCGTTTTTCGCCGTTCCGTTGAATCAGCTGAGTCATCAGGCTCCCACCGCCTTTCTGCATTAGTGATTGAGGACCGGCCAGAATCCTTAGGAATCTGGTGGACTCCGTCATGGACATGTTGGTTCTGGATACGTTGTAGTCTTAGACACCGCTGCGGCTTGGAAACACTGTTATTGGTCTTGGATACTTCTGAGGACCAGAGTTTTGCTTAGAAAAAGATTTCAGAGTCGGACATTGATTGTTTAGTTAAGATCTAGAACACATCCAGCATGAACAAATTGCGACCACAGCCAATCTACTGTCTTTCACCAGAGACTTTATCTGATGCTCGGAGCCACTGCTGCTGGACGAGTCGACAAATTTATCAATATCTCTATATGATTAGGCCCATATAATGACAGCGAAAGAAATATAACAAGTGGACATGAAAGTTCATGACACAAGAGAAACCACTGGGATACTTTTTGACAAAGCAAAATGCTTAACATTGAACAAAACCCAACTCCATTCATAACCTCAAGGTATCGAACCCGACCGGGCAGCCGGGGAGAAAGAAACGTAAGAACCCAAAAAGACCCTTTAGTCGAGATCCATTTCCTCCTGCGTAGTACCGTCGACCAAGACTCTGGTCCTCTTTCCTGTTCTGATGCGCTCCTCGCCGTGGAGTCTGGTCTTGCCCGTGTCCAGAGCGGCCAGCTGGCCCTCCTCGCGCTCGCGCAGCTCCTTGCGGATGAGGTGCTCGCCCGAGGCCACCACCTTGCGGTCCTCCTCGCGCTTGCGGTCCCGCGCAAGCTTGCCCGCCAACCGACGCTTGGTGAAGACCCGCTCTCTGCGCTGCCGGATCTCCTCCACTCTCTCCATGGCCTTGATGGTAGCGGCCACCAGGTTTCTGTCGTACTTGACGGGGACGTTGCGCTTCTTGGCGAACTGGGACAGGACGAGGGAGGAGTCGACGATCATCTCCTTGCCCTTGGCGGCACGACCGACCTTGGTCCACTTCACACGTCTCGGTTGTCGCTTAGCCTTGAAGTTCTGGTGGGTAATGGGGATGTCAGTTTCGTTCTTGAGATTGATGGCACCACGAAAGCGTGAGGGGAAAGAGGGGACTTATCATTTGCTCCTGCAGAAACGGAACGCCTTGGCGTCATTGCGGACGAACTGAATACCCTTGCTAGGGTAGACCGGGCGAGAGCAGAAGTGGCAGGTTTCGACTCTATCGGTGTTGTTCGTCAGAAAAAAAATGGCCACAGCAGTAGCGATAACGATACTCAAGATAAAGGCAAACTCACCTCATGATGGGCTATTTTATCGCGTGGAAAGGTCCAACGGCGACTGTGTAATAATGACGGTAGTAGAAAAGTACTGTCGCAAAGTACCGCTGGAAAATGAATGAACAGAAGCCGCAGTGAACCTCCTGAATCCCACCGTCGTGTCGAGAAGATATCTGATGTCCAGGACAGGAACCGCCATTCAAAAAATTGAGAAGCGTGGAGCAGCCGGCACTAAACCCAAACGGGGGATGCGGCGCGGCTCCGATTTTTTATCTGGACTGCGGCGGCTTCTCCTTCCCCAACGTCACAACTTCGAGATCTCTTTTGCGCCTCCCCCAAGCAACTCATTTTCCGGATCACCTTCGCTACTGCTGCAAGATGTCTGCTTTTCTCTACGGTGTTGGTATTGCTACCGCTGCCTTTCTGGTACGTCTGAAGTGGATTCTGGGTGGTTGTGGATTGTCAGTGGGCTAACCTTCTCTTCCTCGGTCAGGGTCGCGCAGGCTATGTCGCTCTCCAACGGTCTAGAGGCGGTATGAACGCGGCGGGCAAGGCATTCTACAAGGGGTAAGCTGGCTTGGCTTCTGTGGTCGGGCAAGGACAGAGTACTAATCGATATCAAGAGGATTTGAACCTCGGATGAACCGTCGCGAAGCGTCTTTGATCCTGGAACTCCCGTACGTCGAAGCTACCACATACTGAATGGCAAAGATCTTGTCTAACGAACTGTCTAGGGAACGCACTTTGAACAAGGACAAGGTTCGCAAGAAGCACCGTCAACTTATGCTGCTCAACCACCCCGATCGTGGTGGCAGCCCCTACTTGGCCACCAAGATCAACGAGGCCAAGGAGTTCCTCGACAAGCAGCTTTAAATTCTCTTTTTGACCGGAGAGTCTTCAGCGAAGCATTTCCATGCCGTGAAAGACGATAGGGTACATTTACGTATCGACCATTGTACAAGAGTTTCTTCTTTGGGTGCGCATAGCGAGGCGTTGGTGGAAATTTTCTGATCCCGGGAATACATCCCTTGGGCACGCTCCTGATGGGAGACCTGTATTTACACTACTACTGTATACTGATGAGATCGCCACTCTTGAATGTATAGCTATGATTTATTGGCACACATGTGGTTTGGAGCCTAGGCTGAAGCGTTGACGAGTAGCTCTGCATGTGCTCGTCGTATGCCTGTCGTATAATTATATAGACCTCGCTGATCCACCTTGTGTGACATGTGATAGGTCTAAGTAATGGTAGACCAGGACAACCTGGGATGTTTGAGCCTCTAATCATGAGATGAGGTCTGTACAGAGTCAACTGCCAAGCTGAGCCAGGGAAATCGCAGGTTAACAGGTGTCAACAGGTGTCAACAGGTGTCAACATTCAAACAACCCAGTATGCAGAACGGCAGAAACGCATGGATGGATAAAGAATTTAGTCATAGAGAAAGGGAGAAAGTGGAACGGCCACTGGCAGGCAGGCAGGCGGGCAAGCGGGCAGTCAAGCGGACAGTCAAGCGGGCCATGGCAGCCAAGGCCGGGAGTCACAGCTTCTGTACGGAGGGAGCACCTAAGTTAGTCTGTAGGAAAGGTAAAAAGCGGGCTCGGACGGAGAGAAGGCCTTCCATCTTCCGTTACCCACGGAGATTCGGGGTTAACGACTTCCGTCCGTTCTCGTATTCGGACACCCTCCATCGAAGCTTGATGCCAGATGATACGATCAGACTCTCATGACAAGATGAAGATCAAAGGAGCTAATGCGGAGTACTAACACCAGGCTGCCGTCATTATTCTCTAACTAACTGTTGGACTAAAGACGTATATGGCAAACAATAACATATGTGGCAGTGGATGAGATAGCAAGCTATCTCCGTCCGGATGCAATAATAATCTGTAAGCTTGTGTCTCAACTCTCTTTTTTTTTAACTCTCCCTCTGGTCTGTCTGTCAGCTCTCGGATCAGATTTGAGAATTGATCCGGTCCCATTATTGCTTCGATCCCACAATAATCAACTCAGTCAAGCTGTCGTCCTTGACTGTCCTCCACCCCTGAATATTCTCTTCCCCTATCATTCTTTCATATCTGGATCCTTTCCTCTCTCCTCTCCTCTCCTTTATCAGGCAGTCCGAAAAGAGAGAAGGGAAAAAGTAGCCCGAGTCGCCACGTGCTTGCAACTTATCGGGGAAAGGAAGTTAAGGAAAGCAAGCAAGCACTGCAGTCAGTGTGGATTACTCAATCCACCCTCAGTCTGTCTGTCCCATCCGCTAACCAAAACCAATTCATTCCTCCCCCGACCGACTTCATCATTGTTCTTCTTCCTGTCCTTAGGGTCCCGTTTCTTTTTTAACTTTATATTTTCTTTTCCCTTCAACTCCGCCGCTTTCTTGACTCGGTGGATGCGCAATTCTTCATCGAAACTGGTTACTCGATCGGCTCACCCTAGTCATTCCTTATCGTGAATAATCAACGGTTGGCTTGCATCTGCATTCCATTGACGTCGTCGCCGGGAAAAGTAACCCCGCATTCAGCCCATTCTCGACTCGACTCAAATCATACCCGCTCGGCCTAGAAACTCCACTCCGTCATAGAAATTCTCCTTATACATTCGGGAACCTTTTCCTGTCTTCGCTCCCATCGCAATGGATGGCATCGGGGAAGGCCCCGACGGCATGGGCTTCGATATGCCCATGCTCATGAACCAGCAGCAGCAGTTCTTCGGCGGCTATCCTCACGACACTTCGCCGATCCCCTCCGCGCATCATAATGCGGCGTTCCAGGATGATACCGCAATGGGCATGGGTGATGATAGCAATGACGCCAAGAGAAGGAGAATCGCAAGGGTGAGTCGCTGATCGTGTGGTTTGACGTTACTGGGTCGTCGGGTCGGCGATGGGCTGATCGTGCTTCATACAGGCTTGCGATATGTGCCGAAAGAAGAAAATCAAATGCGATGGCAAGATGCCCAAGTGCTCCCACTGCATCAATTACAAGACCGATTGTGTCTTTACCCAGGTAGAGAAAAAGCGAAATCCACCTAAAGGGTGAGCGCTCCTCGCCCGGCTGTGCTATCGTCGTCGGTTCCGCGCTAACAACTTGGGGTCATGCAGTGCCAAATACATCGAAGGCTTGGAAAATCGATTAGGGAGGATGGAATCGCTACTACGCCTTTCGGGCCTGCTGTCAGAGGAGGATGGAGGAAAGACTGACCTTGGGACCTTAGAACGACGTCTTGCCGATCGATCTCTGGCGAACGGTGGTCTGAGTCTACCCAGAAGCCCAGGAAAATTCAATGCCTCCAACTCCAACAGCCAGTCTCAACAGGCCTCCTCGCATCACTCTACCCCTCGGGTCGAATCACAGTCAAGTCCGCACACAGCTCCCACGTCTCCGGAATCGCCGAAGGAATCTGAAAATGAAGTCGAAGGTCTGTCGGATATGATGTGTTCGCTTGTGACGAATAACTGTGGAGAAACAAGATACATTGGTCAGTACATGCATCAATATCAGATGGCCCAGAAATGCAAAGCTGACCTGCTATAACAGGATCGTCGTCGGGATTCTCGATATTCTCTCCGAAAGGCATACAATGGGTGAACGAGAAAACAGGCGACTCGTCATTCCAGGACATGATTTCCTCCGCATACATCGATGACAACAAGTGGATGTATTGGAAGCCTGAGATCTTCAGCGATATATTCGCCCGTCGAGTCTTCAAGCCGCTGCCTCCTAAAGAAGAGGCCATGTCCCTCTTCCAGGACTTCTTCGCCAACTTCAATTGCATGTTTCCGCTTTTTCACGAACCAACTTTCATGCACTTAGTAGAGCGGCAATACTCTCGGGATCCGTACGAAGGCTCCGGCTGGTGGGCTAGCATCAACGTCGTGCTGGCAATCGCGCACCGAATCCGGGTCATGAATAATCTGGTGCCACAAGAGGAAGACAAGAAGGCGTGGCTTTACCTGAAAAACGCAATGGCCGTTCTAACTGAGCTCACGATGCGGAACACGGATCTGCTGAGCGTCCAGGCCTTGCTGGGAATGGTAAGTGGTCTTCGTTGAGTGCTGCTATAGATTGTTGACACGGTCCCAGTCACTCTTCTTGCAAGGTACCCCCAACCCACAACCATCTTTCTTCCTTGTCGCGGCAGCGATTCGGCTGTCCCACAGCATAGGGTTGCACAAGCGCGGCTCGGGGTTCGGTTTGAATCCCGTAGAAGTCGAACAACGAAAGCGGGTGTTCTGGATTGCTTATTTGCTGGATAAAGAGTAAGCCGAGCCCTTCTCCTTTGCACTGCGTTCGCTGACCTCCGACCCAGTTTATGTCTCCGTTCCGGCCGTCCACCAGTTCAGGACGATGATGACATGAACGTCGAATTACCGAGTGAAGACCCCCCTGACAATATTGGCAATGTGCCACTGTCAGATGGAAAGAGCAAGTTCAACCTCTTCAGGTCGATGTGTCGTTTTGCTACGATTGGGAGTCGAGTATACAAGCGACTATATTCGGCGAAGGCATCGAAACAGTCGGATGGGGAATTGCTGAATACGATTGGAGAGCTTGACAAAGAACTCGAAGAGTGGAAGGACAGCATACCACTTGACTTCCGCCCCGAGAACGAGATCAAAGCAACTCATACCCCGTTGATCCTGCATGTTGTCGTTCTCCACTTTGCTTATTACAACTGCTTGACAACGATCCACCGAATGTCTGTTCATCATGGGTACTGGACAAGCCGTCTTTCCAACTATGCCATCCAAGGCCTCAATGCCAGGCCCTTGAATCCAAGGGTATTCTTGTCAGCAGTCCTTTGCGTGACCGCTGCTCGAGCGTCCATCAATCTCATCAAATATATACCGCAAGGCGACTTTGCATGTGTCTGGTCAGTACACATCTTGTTGAGCTGCACGATTGTCTGCTAACAGGCCCCTCTAGGTTGATACTATATTATCCGGTCTCCGCATTGGTCACCCTGTTCGCTAATATCCTCCAAAATCCCAACGATGCACGAGCGCGTTCTGATGTGAAGCTGATGAATGTGGTGGTCAATTTTCTGTCGACGCTGGTATCCGATGAATCAAACGGAAGCATCAAACGCATGCTCACTCTCTGTGGCGAATTTGAACGGATCGCGCAGGTAGTCCTCGACAAGGCTGAGAGGGAGTCTCACTCGAAGAAAAAGCGCAAGGCCACTTCCGATGATCCTAAGAACGCGCAACAGCCACAACCATCTAATACAACCCAATCCCCAACGACCCCCGCCACCAGAGCATCAGATGCGCCTTCCTCGGCCAGAACCGCAGTACCCCTTGCATCGTCTTCGTTCCCGACGGCTCAGAATAATCAGCCCACGGGCAACTCACCCACTGCAGCACGCAACTTCGTTCCCGACCAAGCCTTCTCTGCAGCCGGTGGCGGTCTTCCCCCGAATCTTCAGGAAACTATACATAGCCTTACAAACCTGGGCCCCGACTTTGAAATGCTCAGCCCACACAACTTGGACGGCGTGCGATTTGGCGAGCAGCCACCCTTTCCGACGGCCGCTGCCGACAACCCCCTTTCATCCTTCCAGCAACCCTTCGTACCACAAGATCTGTGGCAGATGCCGATGACCATCGAATGGGATTGGGCCGACATGTCGAACAATTTTCCGGTCTTTGGTGACACCAGCGGCCCCAGTGGCGGGCCTCCGAACGAGTCATGATGCTATGTACACGACAAACACGGGGCGAACTGGTCACACAAAGGACGGGAGAGGGGGCGGTATGGGTACATGCATGCATAACGACTACTTCTGATTTGTTCTCTGTCTCATTTTACTTCAACCTTCCATTCATCACATACGGGAGTTCCACGGAGTTGCGAGGGGCTAGGCCGAACCTGATCCGAGGCTTTACGGGGAGGGGTGCGGGATATTATGCTTCTTGGAGGGTTTAGCGTTTATTATTATTTTTTTCTATCTATTCCCCCCTACCCCATCCACTCACCCACAAAAAGTCCCATCATATACTTCATGACTTCGTTTGATACCTCTCCACTAATCAGATTCATTTGGTTGTCTCTCTCAAAACACTTTGACCTTGAAGTCTCGTGTCCATTTTTGGGGCCGAGATGTGAGACAAAATGCCGGCATAATTTCTTTTCTCCTTCTGGACCGTGTCTTGAAACTCTTGTGAACATACATGGTTTTGTACTTAACAACAACCCTCTCTTTCTTGTTCTTAGGGGAACTTGTGATTGCTTGTGTACTAGAAGTGTATGACTTGAAGATTTCGATGTAAAGATCAGCAGTCGCCCAATGCAGATACCGTCATATGTATGGGGATAGCACGTCGATTTCCTGGATTATTGCCATCCGGTGCTGCGCCGCCTGTCCATGCTCAATTCTGAATACAATATGGTATAGTAAGTACTTCGATGATCCGGCTGTTGTATTGTCCTATACCGTCATACAGGAGGTATACAGAAGGCATGGCACGGGCCAGTGACCCCGGTATTGATGCACGCTAAATCCTGACCGGAAGGTACCCGCGTCGATCCGTTCCGGCCGGAGTCGAGATCGATGTGGAACCTCCCCTCCGTCTGTCTTGTTTAGCAGAGGGAATCCGGTCTATCAGCTCTTGGATAGCGCATCGCTGCAGTATGCTCGACGGTGGACCGACTGATAACACCTTTGAGACCATTTATGGGAGTTACGAAGACGGTACTGCAAGAATGCAAGACTCACGAGGTAGAATGTTGAACGCATGCTGCCCTGTTTGATTGAGGCGCTGCCACTTCGTCGGAAACGAAAATGTTTCCTGATGTTTCTGAGAAGACTGTATCCCAAGTCTAGGCAAGCCTCCTATCTATATATTATCGGTTACAGAGTTGTGGAGGTGATATGGGGGAGACGAACGTCTTACATCGCCGAGGTGTGTATGTACCGTACGTACAGTGAGCTCATCTCAAAACACCAAGTCGAGAACAGACCTAAAACTTATGGATCAAGAGGATTCCATAATCTTCAGTTGTCATACGAGTAGTAGTACGTCTATGACTTCAAATACCTAGTCTTGTAGTTCCAAGCGTATTAACAGTTCAAAATATATAAGAGTAGTTACATAGCGATATCGATATTTTCTCCTTTGTATGCCGAACCCCTGCGCGGCCCGGAATGGCGCCATCTTGACTACCACTAGCTTTAGGCGCCAGTGAACTTACTGATTCCGTTCATCGGGTCACGTGGTGTCTACCAGGTCCGTCTCCTTTCTCTGTTTCAACACAATGAAAGCAATGCCGAATGAATTATTCCCGGATATCGATCACTTCTTCTGTCAATGTGGACAGACATGGCACGGTTAAAACGCTCGCAGTTTCTGGGGATCGCAGTTGTTTTCCACTTGCTCTTTGTCTATTCAATCTTCGACATTTACTTTGTGAGCCCCGTTGTCGGGGGCATGAAGGCCCACCGCGTCCAGGCTTCTCCTCCTGCTCAACGCGTCGTGCTTTTTGTCGGTAGGGGAGATCATCCCCATTTCTCTCTCCCCTTCAGTATCTTGTGGACAGTCGATGGTTCTAATTCTATGAGATGGTGGCTGAACACCAGTTGACGGTCTCCGCGCGGACAAGACCTTTCAACAGTTCCCCGACCCGTCCCCAGACGCCCCTACAGATGGGTCGGCTCAGGTACCACGCCACTTGGCTCCCTTTCTGCGCTCACGAGTATTGGAGCATGGTACCTTCGGAGTGTCTCATACCCGAGTACCCACCGAGTCGCGCCCAGGCCATGTGGCCCTTCTCGCGGGCCTCTACGAAGACGTCTCCGCCGTAACCACGGGCTGGAAGCTGAACCCAGTGGGCTTCGACAGCGTGCTGAATCGCAGCCGACATGCGTGGAGCTGGGGCAGTCCCGACATCCTGCCGATGTTTGCGCAGGGGGCCGTACCGGGCCGCGTGGAGACAGACATGTACAGCGCCGACGCGGAAGATTACAGCAAGGATGCCACCGAGTTAGATCTCTGGGTCTTCGACCGCGTGAAGCGCTTGCTCCGTTCCGCCGCCGAGAATCCAGACTTGGAGACTGCCCTGAGACAAGATCAGAACATCTTCTTCCTCCATCTGCTTGGACTGGACACTTCCGGCCACTCTTATCGACCCTATTCGCGCGAATACCTGCAAAATCTCCAGGCTGTCGACAACGGTGTGCGGGAGATCTGCGATGAAATTCAGGCCTTCTTTGGAGACGACCGGACGGCCTTTGTCTTCACCGCGGATCATGGGATGAGCGATTGGGGCAGCCACGGGGATGGGCATCCGGATAATACCCGGACGCCCCTCATCGCGTGGGGCGCTGGAGTGGCCCGTCCCAGGGTAGAGCTCGTGGGCAGCGTTGCGGTTGGGCACGATGCGTTTTCTGCCGATTGGCAGCTGGATCATGTGCAGAGGCATGATGTCGCCCAGGCTGATATTGCGGCGCTGATGGCATATCTGGCGGGGATTCCGTTTCCCGTGAAATCGGTCGGACGCCTTCCGTTGCCTTATCTCGATGCGGACGAGTCCAGTCAGGCGGACGCTATGCTGGTCAATGCGCTGGAGATCTTGGAGATGTACCGAGTTCGAGAAAGTCGTATGATGGCCTCGAAGCTCGGGTACGTGCCTTTTCCGGCGCTCAGTCACGATCAAGATCCAAATCAAGAGGAACGAATTGCTCGCATCCGTACTGCGATTCGTCAGGGGCATCATCCTCAGGAAGCGATTCAAGGCTGTGAGGATCTGATCGACCTGTCTCTTCAGGGCTTGCGGTACCTACAGACCTATGATTGGCTCTTTCTTCGAGCTCTGGTTAGCGTCGGATATCTGGGGTGGATGGCCTTCGCTCTTACGAACGTGCTCAGTCACTTTGACCTACCAAGTTCGGGTCCTAGTCCCCAGCCAAGACGTTCTACTGTCCGCCTCATCGTAATGGGATTTGTCGGTCTTGCGCTTCTGGTGAGACTATATTCGCAGAAGTCTCCGGTGCAATATTATGCGTACACTATATTCCCGGTCTTGTTCTGGGCTGAGGTATGGGCCTGTCAAGATTCCTGGACCCAAGCCATTAGGGCACTTTCCAAGCGGATATCCGCCAGCAACGTGACTGCAGATGCGGCTGGTGTGATGCTCTTGGGCCTGCTTTTGGAGGCTATAGTAAGCTTCGGTACCCTGCTCGTGCGCACCTTATATTTACCTATCAACAGGTTCAAAGTTATTATGATCGTAGGATTTACACGCTCATCTACATTCTCGCCCTGTTCTGGCCCGCTATCTACGGTATTGAATTCATCCGTGCCAATCGGCTTATATGTTTGGTGTGGGCAGTCCAATGTGGCTCTATGAGCATCTTCACCCTTCTTTCGGCCATGAAAACGGAGGATATCACTCTGATGTATGTTAAGCCCGGCTATATCGCATGCGGATCGAGACGACTGGCAACTAACATGTCGGATAGCACCCTGGGCGGGCTGCTCATGTTTTCCTGCGGTGTCTTGTATATCATCTTCGAGCCGACAATACTCCATCGAGCATCAGTAGAAAATGTGGTCGAGACTGACCGACTAGGAAGAATGCTCCTGATGTTCCAGGTCGGATTAGTACCGCTGGCTATATCCACGACGCGGTCCGCAGCGGCCTCCTTGCAGTCTCGAGAAGGACTCCCTCGTCCAACACAGATTCTAGGATGGATACTACTCGGTCAGTACACCACTCTTGAGGTATGACAACATTAACCCTACTGAACAGTGACGTCCTTTATCCTCCCGATCTTCGCTCTTCGGACCAGACGCCACCACATCTATCAACTAGTGGTCCTCTTCTTCACATTCGCCCCGCTATTCATAATCCTTACCATCTCCTACGAGGGCCTATTTTACTGCTGTCTGAGCGGCACACTCTTCACCTGGGTGCAGCTGGAGTCCAAAGTCTTCGACTACCAGCGACAGCCCGCATCCCCATTTATCACCCAAGAAGCACCACAATTCCGCCCCCTCCGCTTCTCCGACCTGCGCATTGCCCTGTTCTTCCTCTACCTGTTCCACTCCGCCTTCTTCAGCACCGGGAACCTCGCCTCGATCTCCTCCTTCTCGCTCGACGCCGTGCTGCGTCTCCTGCCCGTCTTCGATCCCTTCAGCCAGGGGGCCCTTCTGGTCCTCAAGATCCTGGCCCCCTTTGTGCTCGTCTCGGCGAACCTGGGGCTCTTGACCCGCGCGCTGCGCCTGCGGCCCGGCGCGCTCTTTGTGCTGGTCGTCGCCGCGAGTGACTATCTGACGCTGCGGTTTTTCTGGCGCGTGCGGGACGAGGGCTCGTGGTTGGAGATCGGAGAGAGTATTACGGTGTTTGTGCTGGCGTCGTTGCTCTGTGGGTTTGTGGCTGGGCTGGAGATGATGGGGAGGGGGTTGTGGGAGTTGCCGTGGGCACTGAGAAGTACAAGCTTTCATGAGGGGTGTGTTAACATGGAGGCTCCCTGAACCCTCTCTTCAAGCCCAAGACCACTCATCGTAGGCGTTTGACGCCTCGATATCTTTTTGATTCTGCAGTCAGCCACCAAAGCCACAGCTAGAATTAGAGTCAGCTTCTCTTATACATGAGTATATGAAACGGATCAATGCACGAAGGTATCCGGTGATCACCAACCGCCATACTTCCTGCAGCACCCTTCTAGGCAAGGATTGAGCTTTACCCGTTCATTCTGATGTGCGTTGACTTAGAGGGGAGGCCACCGCAACCCTACATCCGCAACAAGAGAGCTGCTCTCCATATCTCCTTCAACCCACAGACCACAAGTGAGACGCCAGCTCACAGAACAACAAGCGTACCAGTCCCCAGTCATTTCCTCCTCGTCCTCATCCTCATCCTCATCCACATCCACATCCCCATCCCATCCCCCTCCTCATCTCCATCCAAATAAGGCGGCCCCAAACCCGCACTCCACCGATACTCCCTCCCCACCCCCATGCTCATCAAGCTCCACCGTATCCACACAAGTAAAATCCAGCGCCTCAACAGACTCGCGACACTGGCACACAACACACCCACACCCATCATAGAAGACAATCAGAACCTTTCCCCAGCCTTAGCGCCTTCTCATCCAGAACATGCAGCCAACCCATCACTCGCGCCCAGTGGTAAGTAGTGTAGTCATGTTAAAAATCATACCCATCCCCCCCCCCCCCCCCTCAGCATCATCCCACTCAACACCCCTGCAGCGCCTCCCGCCACAAGCGATGATACACAGAAGCTACAGCACCCGCCAAAGACCCTTCGCCACTCCAACCCAAAATCACAGCACCCCACACCATTAAGAATCGGATCACCACCGAGCTCACTGACCAGATGAGCCGCTATCGCCGCGAAGTTTCATCGGCGGAAGGGTGGTAGGCTGTGCGCAGCCAGGGGATCAGGAACCCAACCCGTCCTTCTGCACCGGTCTGTCGGCGGGGAGCGTGCGCGGTCGCGGAGGGCTCGTTCGGTTGGGGTGAGCTTGGCGTGGTGGCTGCCGCCGCGTTGGCGAGGAGGGTTGTGTAGGGCTGTGCAGCATGGTTTGTTAGTTTGTGATACATGCTGTGTGGAGAGTTAACGTGCGGTGCATGCTCTATGTGGAAGTCAAGTCAGTTGGAGATGGTACCTGTTGTCCATCGACGCCAAGGGTGGTGTATTCGGCGAAGATGTGGGCGCGTTGGGCGGAGGGCGTGAGCGGAGAGGTGTGTTTCCATTGTTCCTGGTTGGGGGTGTTAGTTGGATTGACTCGGGAGTACCAGGTAGATATTCGAGAGGAGATGCGCAGAATAACCAGGAGGAAGAGGTCGGTGGGGGAGACGAGGGGGTCTGTTGGGGGGGGGACATTGGGTTGTGGATTGTTACTGCATTTGAGAGGGGTGGTGGTGGAGAGTTCACATGCAACAGTTGAATCGAGCGAACGCTTTCGTGGTTGGTGATGGTCTACTGGGTTGTCGGTCAGCAGTGCTAATTGCAGCTTCTCTCTTGGCGCTGGCAGTAACAGTATGCTATAACTATGCTGGACTGTTGATTTGAGGATTTTTTCTGGAGAAGGATCCAGAACCCTAATTTGACTAGATAACTAAACTTCAGTTACCCCGTGAATTCGGTCGGTTTCCCCACGGCACAGTCAAGCCCAAAGCCTGGGGCCAAGGTCGGGAGTACATATGAGTAGACTAGGTCTTCGAAGAGGCAGCTGTCGAGCACCTTGATACGTATGTGTTATTGCATTGATCACCACCGCATTCTTCCAGACGGGCCCCTCTGCGTCGGTTGCCTGGTTCGACCCACATTACTATGTCTGCGTGGAAACCATCCTACAGCTCCGCTCCGGGTCAACATCCCGTAACTGTATCCATTCGCAAATTTGAACAAGCGCCATATGATATACCCGTGCATATCCGTAGACCTCGGGTGCTACACTCAACGCATTTCGACGACCCTTGAGGGGATTCCACCCCCCAATCATGTCTAAGGGTAGCTGCCAGCGTTGCAGAAAGCTACTTGACTCTTTTAGCAAACGGGGTGCTTCTTACTTCCTTTTGCATTGAGTTTGACTTGAATCAGAAAACTATCGCCGGCCAGGCTCGAAGTTCCATCCACTGGGTGACTCGCAAAGGCGGAGGGGGACGGCGAGAAGAAACCGAATAAGACAGCTTTATCTTGGCTCGGGATACAGCTCGAATCACAAGCCCTAACTTGGACCAAAGCAGATAGGGGAACTCATTCGAATTCCACGGAAGCCCATTTCAGCAGTGAGTAGAGATCATACTGTGCCTGCTACTCCCCTAGTCATGGCATCAATCAACAACCATTACACCTTCGGTAGGAAAAAGCGCTAGTGACTATGTCTACAGGGCAACATCAATTCTAGTCAATTGACTCAACGAGGTTGGATTGATATAGTTCAGGTAAAATAAGATTTCCCTTTATACAAACAGAAAAGACGAAGCAGAACATGAACCAGTCCCAATCAGAACTGATTCGCCCCGCCCGATTCTTCCAAGCAAAATGAAATGGAGTCGGTCGATACCGTGAAACTCGACGACAAGAGATGAATAGCAGATAACCAGTCGCCGTTGGAGTGGCCGTGGATCGGGTTTGATTCACCCCGGATATTGATCAGACCAGAACACTTTCCGCCAAGTCTGAAGAATACAACAACCCAAATGCAAAAACTGCAGTACAAGATGCGTGTCTGCAGTCGCTTCGGAAAATTTCTCCCCGCATGGGCTAAGAGGTACAGTGGACAATGCACAAAGAACAAGAAAAACATATGAAATTGGTATAGGTGGAGTCAGTCAGTGGGTGTGCGGCAAGAGTGGTAGCGGCAGACAATCCAGTCACAGCCGGCGCTGGGGTTATACAGATAGATATAGAAAATCGGCGATACATGCGAAAGGGGTGTTCCAACTCCAACACGAGAAAATAGAATATCAACATTTACAAAAAGTCACGCAATCTCGTACATGTCATCAGGGTGATGTGGTGGATGGCTGTCAGTGCAGCGGTTCGGCGGGAAGATAGAAGATGGGAGATCGGGTAGGAGAGCGATGGGTGAAAGGAGTGTGATGGCGGGTCATGAGGGTGGCATCTATTCTTCCATGCGGCCGAAGATGCCATCGTCATCGTCGTCTGCCTGGGCTGGCCGACTGCTGAAATCGACGTCGGCGTTGCGGGTTTGTCGCTTGGCACGGTCGGTTGCAGCACCACCCGTTCGGACTTCGCGCTCATCGGAGACCTTGTAAGACAGCGAAGGGTTATAAGATAGGGAGAGAAAGAGGTTGGAAGTGGTGTTCGAGAAGGCGGAGTTGGCAAGGCCTGCGTTGGACTGGTCTAAGCTGTGGCTTTGGCTGTCCGAGGGACTTCGTTGGTCGAGGAATCGAGTCGGGAGGGAAGGCACTGGAGGCACGCTAGGAGACAGCGGCACTGGCCCCATGCGAGGGGTGCCGAAATTGCAGAGGCCGATGGCGGCTGCCAGGTCAGCCTCGTCGTCCTCGTGCAACTTGGCTTCCGCAGTGGAGGGGCGAGTGTCAATGCTCGAGTGCCGCATGTGAGAAAATGCTGGGGATGCCCAGGGAGCGCTGCTCGTAAACGAGCTTGACGGGCCGGACTGATATGAGTGAGAGAAGAGACCCGAGGCATTGCTGACGCTGAATCGCTTGTCAGCCGTGGGTTCCATGGCCATGTCTTCATCGTCGTCATCGTCCTCGTCCATTGGGGGCGGGGTCGTCTCCGCGGAACTGAGACCCTCCCGCAGCTCCGACGAAGCGTCCGGTGAGGAGGATGAGATCTCCGAGTCGGCTTCAGCGCTCTCATCGGGATCCTGAGTCATGGTAACCAGCACAGAGGCGGCTTCCAGCAATTGCACCTGTTGGTGCTTGGAGATCAAAAGTTTCGACGTGATGGCCCACGCAGGGTCATGTTCCCACCTGTATTTCCAAGAAACGTCAATTTACTGCGATCCACCACGATGAAGACAGAGTTGAAGGGAGCGGAATGGCCACGAAGGCGACCTTAGGCAGAGCCGACATGGCGCATTTGCTCCGGACCGAGCCCGATGGCCGGATGGCATGGGGGGAGGATACACACATATGCTTGGACAAGCAGCTGCCATGCTTATACCCTTTCCCGCAACGCTCGCAGCGAAGCTCGGCCATGGATCGCTTTCCCTCGGGTTTGACCAGGTGGGCACCTTCGCTGGCCCGGCGGTTGCGGTTTTTGGTGGTGACTGGCTTGGCTGCTGGGTTACTGGGATCTGAGGAATCTGGAACGGTGTTTTCGGAGATCGTTGCGGGGGGTACGATGGGGGTCGTCTGGGAAGGGGAGGTTTTGCGAGCGACCGGGGGCTCCTGGCTGGGGCTGTTCATGCTGCGAGACAGATAAGAGCCGAAGCCGGAGGGGGCTCCGACCGAGCTGGACTCCCAGCCTTTCCGACTCCCACGGCGGTGTGCGGGCATCGGAATTCCCATGGAATCGCCCGATTCTTTCAAGGAGGCAGCGACCGCAGCAGCGGCCGCATTAGCAGCAGCGGCAGTGGTGACACTCTTGCGACGAGTCACCCGATGGTTGGCGTTGACCGCACCGAGCGAGATGGAATGGGAGTGGTGACGGGAGTTGGATTGAGGAAGAGGGCGAGAAAGGGACAATTCCTATTTTATGGAAGATCGGAGTTGTTAGTCGGACATATTGTCTGGGGGGTGGATTCAATAGCGCTGGTGGTCCGCAGAGCACGCCATCCACGGAGAAAGTCCAGGGAAAAGACAAGACAGCACGTTACCTTGAAGGAGGCCATGTTTAGTACGTGGACTGTCGGGCTGTCAATCCCGTGCAGTCCAGAGGTAGTAGTAATGATTAGCACCAGAAAGTGATTCTGGGTGATATGATTGAGCGGAGGTGGTGGAGGGATAGTAGTTGAGTAGTCGAGAAGTAGTGAGGAAGCGGGAGGTGGAGGGAGGAAAATGAGAAATAAATTGAAAGAGAAGTGAGGCAGAGAAATTCAGCTGGCGGGCAAAATCCAGGGATACGAGCGGCAGAGCAGGTACCTGTCAGGCTAACCACGAGCAAGGTTCAGGGCCAACCACAAGAGAGTGCGTGAGTGATTTAACGGGGCAATTGGGAGAGGAAGTCAATTGGGATGATTAGGAGGAAGATGGGAGTTAGGTGGAGAGAGTTGATGTAGAGAAGGGGAAGGGAGAGAGAGAGAGAGAGAAAGGAAGCGTTGTAGAAGAAGAGGAGAAAGAGGAAGAGGCAGAGAGGGGAAATTGCAAGTAACGTTAAGAGGGGAAAGGGAGAGAGAGAGAGCAAGAGGGACAAAAAAGGGAAAAAGAAAAAATAATAAAAATAGTCCAAATAAAATAAAAGAGGAGATCAGAGTAAGTAAGTCAGTCAATCAAGTAAAGTTGGGGAAAAGAAAAGGTGTTAAGCAGCAGTAGAGGAATGAATGAATACAACAAGTGAATGAATGGATTGGATGGCTGCACGAGGTCCAGTCTAGTACTGAGTAAGAAGTACGAATTGCACTATTATTGTTACTTGCTGATAATACTGATAGTAAGAGAGATTCGGCGATAGTTTAGCTGAGTTAATTACATTGTATCAGTCATTAATACCCAGGAATTGATTGCTAAATTTATTTCTCATTTTTAATTCTATTTTCCAAGAGAGGGGGGATTGTTACTGTAGTTAGTTATAGTTAGATACTACGGAGTACAGATAGGGATTCTCTAGTCACTACAGTTTTGCGGGGGGATTTTTTTTTCTTCTCCTTCATTTCACCTGATCTTGTCGATTCATCTTGGTCACTGTCTTCCTCTCTTTCTGTCGAATTCCCCCTCTTTTATGATTTTATTTTGGTTTCCTTCCCCATGCAATTTAAAACGAAATAGGCAAAACCATGAGAGAGGATTGGTTGTAAATGACTGGATTGGGTTTTTGCTAGTAAACCAGCAATGCGGGGGTCGGGCGATCCGCTCTGGATTCGACTCAATTACCGTCCAAAAACCAAAAATTCCCAAAGCTGTCTGTCCACGCGGGTCTTTCCCCAGGCAAAAGCAAAGCAGAGAATGAGCAGAGCAGAGCGAAGTAGAGCATCCCATCTCCTTCTTTTCTTCTTCGGTTGATTCTGGAAAAGACCAAAACTACCCCATCTCCGAACCCACTCAACAAGAAAACACCAGCGAATGGATTTCTGAGAACACCGCGAACAAATTAATTTTCAAGGGCAGTCAGGGCTGGACCGGTTCCTGACTAACAAACCAGCAACAGACGACGGAGAAGGAGCAGCAAAACCAGGCAGTTCTGGGATGTTATTTGCTCCACTCGCATCTGCCTTCCGAGAAGTGGAATCGTGGATGATATCAGCCAGCGCCCGGATTTCAGAATGATTGGGTCCAGACAAAGAAGAATTTCCCCAAGTTTCAGTGAAAAGAAAAAAAAAAAAGTTGAGGTTTACACTCAAATGAATTTTTGGAAGATTCTCACTGCTGTAGTGGTTTGACATGACTCTGCTGCAGAGTTATTATTGTGGTGGTGGTTGTTTTTGTTGGAGGCGGAGAAAGGCACAGCTCCGGTCACCTGCGAGGCCACTCAGGACAGTACGTTGTTAGGACACCCATCAGCTGGTGCGTCTGCAATGGGAAGATGGTCAAATCCTCCGAACCTCCTCCTCCTCCTCTCTCCTCTTCCTCAGTCTGGCTCATCCATTCTTCATTCTTTGTTTCTCTCCTTCACAAAGAAACCATCGGGAGGTTGAATAAGGATCATGGAAATTATTCAGAAGTTGTAATACATGTAACAAAAAAAAAAGTCAAACAAGAAAGTCCTTTTGGAGACGGATTTCATTGTGCCACGAACAATCATTGATGGGCCCGGACACAGTGTGTAACTTGCTTGTTGCTTCTTACGACCTGGAACTTCCCAAAAATCACTCAGGCAGATCGGGGCCTCCCGCCCCCGTGGCCGTCGATAGCCAGCCATGACCATACCGTAATTACGCCACCCTCCATCGACCGGTCTAGGGCCTGGAAGAGGGTGGGGAGCATGATGTCATTTCCACCAGCTGACCGTACTGTACGGGGCTTGGAGGGAGGGGCCGGGGGAAGCGCCCGCCCCGGGTGAGTTCGGTACGGTCACGGTAACTGGTATGTGGTGGTACAGTACGCAGTACTCCGTACATTCATTCGGTCGGTACAGCGCTGTTACCACGAACTGCCAGTGAACCCGACCTTATCTCCAGTCCAGTCAGCAAGCCAATTTAAACTCAACTCCTCTGCTCTCTTCTCACCACTAGGATTACTGAGTTGCTCAGTCGATCAAATAATCCTTCTGGATACCCCGTGACATGTCTCTCACCCCCTCTTGGATGAGATGATAAAAAGTTGTCGTGGACCTACCTTCCTCCCGACTGCGTGGAATTCTGTCCACTTCTCAAACCCATGGTGGACTCTGAGTCTCCCTGATCTGTTTACCAGCTGGGCTGACAGACAGTCTGGCCGTGGCCCTCAAGTGGAGTCGCCCATCACATCACCCTTTCCCCTACTCCTCTTTTTATCCATCCCTTAACCCTTTCCCTATCGATGGATCATCCTACGTCACGATCGCTGAGCCTGACCGTCTGACTGTCCGACTGTCCGACTGCTGACCTGGCGAAAATAAATCCCCCCCCCCTTCCCTCCCCCCTTCCCTTCCGACGGTCGTTCCTGATCGACGAAGGATTGCCAGGCACGCGGGCATCGGAGTCTGAACCGAACCGGGTTTTGCAGAAAAAAAAAGATTCCAGGAGATGTCGTTGCCCATCATGAGAAAAAAAAAAAAAAAAAAAAAAAAACCTGGATTGTCCAGCGGTCAGCATTCATCAGAATCCTTGTTGAAGAACTGCTGCCCAGTTTGGGGGAGAAACCAAAAAAAAAAATCCCAACTCCGGGATGACGTGCACATTCCAGAGGGATCCACTTTGACCTCACTTCTGCCGGAGGTCCATCATTGCACAATCCCTTTTCCTGCTGCTGCTGCTGCAACAAAAGAGAGGGTAAAATAACTGGGAGAGACAGGTTTCACAAAATCAGACAAAAATTGTTGTGTTGGTCTGAAGCAATTGCGCCTCTGCGCCAAGAAACGCACTGGATGCAGTTGTTCTTGCAGTTGTTGATGCTAATACTGTGGAGTCCTAGGTTCCAGGATCGAGGAAAAGTAGCTCACAGGCCGCCAACAAAAAAAAACAATTGACCATCAACAAGTCAGGCAGGAATCCAATTCCGCGGGCGGCGTGCGGAAAGCTAGATACGCTCGCCATTCGAACGTTCGGCCAAAATCCTCATACCTTGGGAGACGCATTGTTTTCCGACGAGGATCTGCAGCCGCAGAGGTGGTCCGATTGATGAGACCGACCACCTGTCAACAGCCCAGTCAGCACAAAATCTCCCGACAGTTGGTTGCCCTGTCGGCAATTCTTCACCTTGCCAGTTGCAGGTATTCGTTTGCTTTGCATAACGCCATACTAGAAACAACAGTTCGCACATCAATGGCCGTCATTTTTTTTGTGGCTCATAGTCTCGCCCCCAATTGTAGGATAAGCTTCTGGGTGATAGACCCTGATTGAAGGCCTCGAGGATAGCATTTCTTCCTATTGAGGAAAGTCAATCAATTATGTGGAGTAATTACCGGTAGGGTGGTGGGTACAACAGCAGTGGACACAGCACCATGGACCTCTGTAAATGTTTCTCTGCAGAAATCATCAACATCTCTACCACAACACATGAGTGTATACACGATGATACACTTACTCCGGAGGAATTCCGATCGAGAGATACTACACCACTACAAATCCCACACCCCAGAAGAAACGCGATGGCATACTCAAGTCCATAGTGATAGGATCCCCCCAAGTTCTAAGAAACAACCCTCTGGAAACAAACCGTACAGACGCCCTGCCCTTCCCTGCCCCCGAACCGGAACCTGGGATACTCGACCCTGCCCCAGACCACCAACCTATCCTTCCGCCCATCGCCCTCACCACCGTCACCACCGTCACCACCGTCACCACCCTCCGAGATAGCAGCAGCAGCATCAGCAGCAGAAGCAGTAAACCACTCCACCAACTCCTCCTCGGTCCAATTACAACTCGTGACCACAAGAAACCCGCCGGGACGAACCAACCCCCGCGCAATCCCGGGGTAGCGTTCACAGACGCGCCTCTGCACCATCTTTCCCCGCTTCCTCTCTTCGCCTTCCCCCTGCCCCTGCCCCTGCCCCTGCCCCGAAGAACCCGACACCACCTCCGCCGACAAAGAAACCGCATCAAACGTCCCCTTATCCAAGACGATATCGAACCCGCGCTGCTCATAGGGGAACCACCCCAACCCATCAGCGACCACACCGGCCTCACCCTCAGAAGCAGAGAGGATATCCCACTCCTCAAACCGAATCTCCGTCCCCGCCCCCTTTGCCCCTGTGCCGTGCGCCTCCCCCTCCCCCTCATCCTCCCCCTCATCCTCATCCCCAGAATCATCAGAATCCGAAAGGTAAGCCCGATGGATCCGCAACGCCTGCAACCGGCGCGCGAGCTCCACGCTCTGCGCCGAGTAATCCACGCCGACTAGCTCGCCCCGAAAACCCCCGCGTTTCCGTAACAGCGCCAGCATGCTGCCGTTGCCGGTGCCCAGGTCGAGGATGGAGGGTTGGTGCGGCGGCAACTGTTGCTGCCCACGCCCAGGAAGCGTGTTGCACGGCGCGAGGGGAAAGGCCTCGTCGGTGAGGAAATCCAGGACCTTTTCGGGGGCGTTGTGTTCGGAGAACCAGGAGGTGCCGGGGTCGGAGTCGTCGTCTACTTCATCGTTGTCGTCGGTGTCATCGTCGGAGGAGGAGAGGGCCTGGGTCTGGGTCTGGGTCTGGGTCTGGGTGGGTTTGTTGGTCGAGGAAGACGACGCGACGGCCGGAGCGGGTTGTTTGGTGGAGAGGTGCGAGAGGGTTCGCGCGTAGTAGGTTTCCCAGCTTTGGTTTATCGCGTTAGTCTTAGTCTGGTTTTCATTTTCACAAAAGAAAGAAGCAGGTAGGTGGTGTTAGGTTGCGGAGAGGGACAGGAAAAAATCTTGGGAGGGGTAGCGGGGTAGATGCCGTACGTACTAGTCCTTGGTGCCGAGCTCACTCGGTTCTAAATATGTGGGATGTTGGTCGGCCATGGTGGAATTGTGCGGACCCTTTTCCGTTGGCAATTGTCAACGGCCTTGTTGGTGGTGTGGTTGATCCTGAGTGGAAAATGGCTGGATGGAGGGTCGACAAAAAATTGCCTTGGTCTGGGCTCTGTAAACTTCTGGAGTTCTCCCCGGATCCCGAGACTGATCCGTGCGCTAGCACTAACTGTAGACGGCACTGTACTACTTCTTGAACACTACACTACATCTTTACCCCTACAACCAACAACCAACCCTGACATCTTCTCTCGCTACAATGCGGATATCACATTTCACCAATAAACCAATAAGCCTAGGGTATTCCGCAGCTGTATGCAGTGACCATAAAGAAATGAGAATAGTATTACAAGTTATCAGGCACGACACGATTCCTCGCCGCCCTTTATCTTTTATAACACCACGACGCCGCTGGTCCAGAGAGCATGCACAATGTTGAGCCCACGGCCTTCAATGCAAATGTGGACCCATGTCCAGGATAGAGAAATGAATGAAATAACGACCGGAGAGCCCGCTTTGGTCATCAACTCATCAATTAGATGAAACAGGTAATGAATGTGGATGGGAAGGAAAGAAAGGAACGTAGATGCCACAACGGCCAGAGTGAAGAGGTGAAGGAATGTTGACCGAACGGTCGGGTCAGAATGAAGTGGTTATAGTCATGGAATCATTTCGCAGACCGACGCCCAATGGCCAGTCCAGTCGAAGACATTATGGCAGAATTACAGAAATTCATCAATATTTCTCATAATCAACCTCTCATTCCCGGGTGGCGGAGACCGCGGATCTGCTATCCGTGACCGGAACCGCAGTCCGTTGAGGCCATCATCCTCAAGGACATCGGAAGCCGATCGCGAGATAGGCGCGGCCATGAAATCCGTCGTCCTCGGTGAGAAGAGAGCGTTGGATTCCTCAGACCCTTCCCGCACGAACATATCGGTTTTAGCCAACGAGCACGGCCCGGCTTCGGCGTGCCATGCGGGTGGTGCCGATTTGGCAGGTGTGATATCACTTGTCAACCCGGTATGAAAGCTCTGACGTAGAGGCAATGGCCGGGGTGAGATGCTTCGTTTGTGCGAAAGAGACTTGGTAAATCCAAGACTCTCAATTGACACGGGCGTGGTCTGATTGGTGGAGGGCACCGACAAAGAGCTCATCGATGCTTGCGACATCGCATTGGACGAATGGGGTTCGACATCGGAGTATACACTCTCGTTGCCAGGAATACAGGTCTCGCCCGACTCTCGCTTATCGGCTCGTGAGCGCCGCTGTTCGGTGAGCTTTGGTGAGCTTTCGCCGAACCACTCTTCAGGGGCGGCTTTCGACAAGCCCCCACGGAGGAGGCGGGAGCGGAAATCCGTCAGCTGATAAATGAGACTCATGTTAGGGCCAACCCAGCGGCTGCGCTCCTTGACAATCTCGTACATCGAGTTGAAATCCAAGTCTCGGTTCTTGAAAAGACCGTAGGCGATCACCAACGAGGCTGATCGGCTGGCGCCCAGCTGGCAATGCACAAGGACTTTCTTTCCATCCGCGATGCGAGAGTCAATCAGCTCGCATAGTGGGTATAGATCCTCCAGGATCTCCGAGTTATGATCCCAGCCGACGTGGACATATTCCGGTCCCGGTGCTTCATTCTTCGGAGTCGCCGGCAGCGACGCCCTACTTTGGGGGTATTCAAATGCGGATTTGAATGATGTTTCTGAGGCGGCGGTCCATGGCTCCGCAATGGATAGGCGCTTGGGACTGATGGACCCATTGCGCAGTGCGCTCACCACGGTTTCGGTGCTGGTGCTGGCCTTAGTAAACGGGTTTGCGACTTCCTTGGCCACATTCACAACAACATCAAATTCGGATGCTTCTTGCGCAGTCGGTTCTAAGTAGAGGAAAACGCCTGAGTCGTAAATCTGAATGGGCCCATTGGGATAGCCTCGCTCGCTACGCCGCGTCGATTCTCGGGAGTCCAGATGATCATCCTCCTCCTTCAGCTCATGCAACACCCCGCCAGAAGCGGAATCCTCATCTTCTACAGTCTGTAGGGGTGACAAGTTGCTCTCCGACGTAGCCGAGGGTCGCCGGGCGCCATGATGCGTCATGGGCCGAGGTAGCTGCATGCCACCCTTGGGACCGAAAGAAGGAGAAAAGACAGAGGTCAGGGAAGGCGAAGATTCGGTATGGCGCAATGAGTGCGGGGTGGGAGGAACCAGCTCAGTGATGTTGTTGGAAAATGACCTGTCGAATCCCGGCGTGCGGATGGTCAAGTTTGCTGGTTTGCGGCGCATACCCTTCAAAGGCACGTGCACGGGAGACGGGGGAGCGGAGAGATGGTGTGAGGTCCCTTCAACCATAGATGCTGTTGCGATTGGTGGGCGCGACTGGGATGGTGGCGGCATCCTCAGTGAGAGGTTTTTGAGGTTTCGTGCCCGCCTGCCTGGAGAATCGGGCCGTGGAAGACTAGCGCCATCTGAAGCTGGTTGGGAAAGGCTGTTAGTCGACGAAGACTGGCTTTCGAAGTTTCGCGCCGGGGGCATGGTGAATTTGTTGTTGAACGCCAACGGCATGGACGAGGGAGATTCGGGAGAGGAGCTGGGAGATGTATCCGCCACAGATGGTGAGTCGAACGTTGAGATGGTAGTAGTGGGCGAAGAGTCGGCGGAACCTGATGTCACGGAGGAAATACTCGCACGATGTCGGAAAGGAAAGGGACGGCGGGTTGAGGTATTGATGGTGACATTGGTGGGCAGACGGAGAGGTTTGAGTGCTGTGTTCCGCGCCTCCTTTTCGGGGAAATCAAGCGTCCGCCCGCCAAAAACTGACATGAAGGAGGGAAACGAGTCCGGGAGTGTTGGAGCGCTGGTCTGCACCGGCATGGTTGTTTCTGAGCTTGGTGAGATACACCTACGTTTGAAAGGGATCGTTGCCCTTTCCGGATCGCAGCTGTAGTGAAGAGTGGGCGCGAAGACTGGGGCACAGTTGTTGTGACCAGCTCCAAGAAAACAAGGTAGAGTCGCACTTGCTACCAGCGCAAATGACCTTTTGTTTAGACAATCAGCTTCCATGTTTCAGCGTCAGTTGTTGGTTTTCGGCAGTAGAAGCAAGCACAGCTGCAAGGAGAGTGAAACCGGTTCGAGGATCGGCCAGCTTCACGAAATGAAAACAACAGAGCTAGTAAGGTCTGTGGAAGCAACAAAGGAGAGAACAGGATCGCATATGCAAGCAGAAGCAGAGATTCGCAGTTGATGTCCTAAATGGAGTCCGAGATCAGGAACATACCAAGGAATGCTGCAAGAGAAGGATATCCTCTTGGGACCAGTCAGTAAAGTGTTGAGGTGAAGGATTGGAAATTGAGAGATCTCAAATCAGAAGCAGCGACCAGGACATGAAGTTGGAATCAAGGAGAGAAACAGAAGCTTTAGGTATAGTTCTTCATGAAAGAGATTTGGAAGTAAGTGAAAATGCGACTAGGGTTTGGGGAGGGAGAATTGCCGCCCGGGGAGAGTAACAAAGTGGGCAGTCGTTCCTCCGGGGAATGACGACAGAAAACGTGGGTGGGATTGCTCTCAGTCGCAAACGACTGCCCACCACCACTCAAAGGAACGGCACG